ATTTACACACTCAGAGACAGACACATCTACACACTCAGACACACCCACACACAGACACACCCACACAGACACACAATTACACACACATCTACATACAGAGACACACACAGGCCTACACACATGCACACACACACACACACAGAGAAACACACACTCACACAGACACACCTACACACACAGAGACAGACACACCTACACACTCAGACACACCCACACATAGACACACCCACAGACACACTCATACACACATGCGCACACACACACACGTGCACACACGCACACACACACTCACACTCACACACTCAGACAGAAACACACTCATACACACACACAGGCACACACTCATACACACACACACGCACGCACACACACGCACACAGACACACAGACACACGCAGACACACACAGACACGCACACGCACAGACACGCACACAGACACACACACACACTCACACAGACACACACACAGAGAGACACACAGACACACACACACACTCACACACACACACGCACAGACACGCACACAGACACACGCACACACACACACTCACACAGACACACACACACAGAGACACACAGACACGCACACGCACAGACACGCACACAGACACACGCACACATACACACACAGACACACACACACAGAGAGACACACAGACACACGCACAGACACGCACACAGACACACGCACACATACACACACAGACACACGAACACATACACACACAGACACACGCACACACACACACTCACACAGACACACACACACAGAGACACACAGACACACGCACAGACACACACACAGACACGCACACGCACAGACACGCACACAGACACACACACACACACACACAGACACGCACACGCACACGCCCGCGCCCGGCCCTCACCCGGCAGGAAGCGGACCCGGGGGCTGGCCCCGCCGTCCGGCTGGAAGGCGGCCGCGTCCGCGATGACGTCAGGGAGGTCGAACACGGTCACCTCCAGCCCCGGGTACAGCCCGGCCAGCTCGTGGGCCAGCGTCCCCGTGCAGCCTGGGGGGGGGGGGGGGACACACGCACACACGCCATCACCGGGCCGGCCAACCGGCGACCGGCCGACCGACCGACCCACCAACAGAGCGACCGACCGACCGACCGACCGTCAAACCGACCAACCGATCGACCCACCAACCCACTGATCGACCGACCCAGTGACCAACTGACCGACCAAGTCCGACCCACTGATTGACCGACCGACAGACCGACTGATCGACCGACCGACCACTGATCGACCGACCGACCAGCCAACCAACCAGCCGGGCAACCGACTGACCCACTGACCAACCAACCGACCAACCCACTGATCGACCAACCGACAGACCAACCAACCGATCAACCGACTGACCCAGTGACCGACTGACCCAGTGACCGACCGACCCACCCAGTGACCGGCCGACCGACCAACCGACCGACCGTCCAACCGGCCCATTGACCCACCGGCCCACCCAGTGACCAACCGGCCCAGTGACCGACCCACCCAATGGCCGAACGACTGACCGACCAACCGACCGACCGGCCCACTGACCCACCGACCCGACCAGTGACCGACCCGCCCAGTGACCGGCCAACCGGCCGACCGACCGCCCGGCTGACCGACCGACAGAGCGACCGGCCAACCGGCCGACCGACCCACTGATCAACCGTCCGGCTGACCGAGTGACCGGCCCACTGACCCACCGAGCTACCCAGTGACCGACCGACCGACCGACCGTCCAACCGACCGACCCACTGAACGACCGACCGACAGACCGACCGACCGACCCACTGACCGACTGACCGACAGACCGACCGACCAACCAGCCCACTGATCGACCGAAAGACAGACCGACCAACCGATCGACCGACCGACCCACTGATCGACCGAAAGACAGACCGACCAACCGATCGACCGACCGACCCACTGATCGACCAACCGACAGACCGACCAACCGATCGACCGACCGACTGGCCAACCGACCAGCCAGGCGACCAACTGACCGTCCATCCGACTGACCGACCCACTGACCGACCAACCAACCAACCGACCAACCCACTGATCGACCGACCGAAAGACCGACCAACCGACCGACTGACCGACCCACTGACCGGCCGACCGACAGACCGACCAACCGACCCACTGACCGACGCAGTGACCAACTGACTGACCGACCGACCGACCACTGATCGACTAACAGACCAACCGACCGATCGACCGACTGACCCAGTGACTGACCGACCAGCCGACCGAGCGACCGAGTAGCCGACCCCAGTGACCAACCGACCGAGCAGCCGACCGACCTGCCAACCGATGGACCGACCGACCCACTGACCGACCGTCGGACCGACCATCCGACCGACCGAGCCGACCGACAGACCAGCCGACCAACCAAGCGACCGGCTGACCAAACGACTGGCCGGCAGACTGACCCACTGACCGACCGACCAGCTGACCAACCGACCGACCAACCGACTGACCGACCGACTGACAGACTGACCGACCGACTGAGCAGCCAACCAACCTGCCGACTGACAGACAGACTGGCCAACCAACCAACCGACCAGTCGACTGGCCGGCCGACCGACCCACTGACCGACTGACCGGCTGACCAACCAACCGACCGACCAACCAGCCTATCAACTGACTGACCGACTAACCAGCTGACTGACTGACCAGCTGACCGACCAGCCGAACAACCCATTCAGCAGTCGACCAACAACGGACCGACTGATCGACCAGCCGACCAACCGACCGACCGACTGGCCGACCGGCCGACCGACCCACCAGCCTACCGACTGGCTGAGCAACTGACCAACCAGCCGACCAACCAACTGGCCGGCCAACTGACCTACTGACCTACTGACCCACCGACCGACCGACCGACCAACGGACCAACCGACCAGCCGACAGACAGACCGACCAGCCGACCGACCAACCTACCAACCACCAGACCAGCCAACCGACCGGCCAACCAACCAACCGACCGATCGATCGACCGACCGACCCACTGATCGAGCGACTGACCCACCGACCGACTGACCGGCTAGCAACCGACCAACCAGCCGACCAACTGACATACTGACCGACCGACCAATTGACCCACTGACCGACCGGCTGACCAATCGACCGGCCGACCAGCCAACCGACCAACCAACCGGCCGACAGACAGACCGACCAGCCGACCGACCAACCGACCAACCGACCGAATGACAGACAAACAGACCGACCAGCCAACCGACCACCAGACCAGCCGACCGACCGGCCGACCGACCGACCGACCGACCCACTGACCGACCGACCGGCTGAGCAACCGACCGACCAGCCGACCAACCGACTGGCCGGCCAACTGACCTACTGACCTACTGACCGACCAACCGACCGACCAACCGACTGGCCAACTGACCTACTGACCGACCGGCTGACCAATCGACCGGCCGACCAGCCAACCGACCAACCGACCGGCCGACAGACAGACAGACCGACCACCCGACCATCAGACCAGCTGACCGACCGGCTGACTGACCGGCCGACCAGCCAACCGACCGTCCGGCCGCCCTGGCGCATAGGAACCCGACCGGACGGACGGGGCTCCCACGTCTGGGCTCTCCAGGACCAGGGCTCTGGCCCCGCGGTTTGTGGTCCGCAAACCTCGGCTCCAGAGCCGCGTTTAAACGTGTGGCTCTCCGGCCCAGACCGGGCGGCTCAGTGGGTAGCGCCTCGGCCTGCTGGACGGCAGGGTCCCGGGTTCGATTCCCGGTCAGGGGCATGGGCCTGGGTGGCTGAGGGCACCTCCCCAGCGGGGGGCGTGCAGGAGGCGGCTGGTGGGTGTTTCTCTCTCCTCATCGATGTTTCTCTCCCTCTCTCTCTCCCTTCCTCTCTGACGTCCGTAAAAACAGATTTAAAACAAACACGAGAGGAAGGAGAGGAAGCTGGGGGTGGGGGCTGCTGGACCCGGGTTCGGGATTTGGGTTTGGGGGTTCAGGGTCCGGGGCTGGGGGTCCGGGTGGGGGTTGGGAGTTCAGGTTGGGGGTCTGGATGGCGGTGGGGTTGGGGGGTGGGGTTCCGGTTCTAGGTTGGGGGTCCGAGTTCGGGAGTCCAGGTCCGGGTCTGGGGTTGGGGGTCTGGGTTGGGGGTTGGGGGTCCGAGTTCAGGGTTAGGGATCCGGGTTGGGTTGGGGGTTCAGGTTGGGGGTCCGGGTCCGGGTCTGGGGTTGGGGGTCCAGATCTGGGTTTGGGGGTTCGGGGTTGGGGGTCCGGGTTCGGGGTTGGGGGTTCGGGTTGGGGTTCTGGGTTGGGGTTCCGGGTTCCGGGTTCCAGGTCCGGGTTGTGGTCCGGGTCGGGGTTGGGGGTTGGGGGTCCGGGTCCGGGTTGGAGTCCGGGTCGGGGTTGGTGGTCCGGGTTCGGGGTCGGGGCCGGGTTGGGGGGTCGGGTTGGGGGGCCGGGTTGGGGGTCTGGGTTGGGGGCTCGGGTCCGGGTTGGGGGTCTGGGTTGGGTTCCAGGTCCGGGTCCGGGTTGGGAGTCCGGGTTGGGAGTCCGGGTTGGGGTCCGGTTCCGGGTCCGGGTTAGGGGTTAGGGGTTGGGGGTTGGGGGTTGGGGGTTGGGGGGTCCGGGTTAGGGTCCGGGTCCGGGTCCGGGTTGGGGGTCTGGGTTGGGGTTCCGGTTCCGGGTCCGGGTCGGGGTTGGGGGTCCGGGTCCGGGTCCGGGTCCAGGTCCGGGTCCGGGTTGGGGGTCCGGGTTGGGGGTCCGGTTCCGGGTCCGGGTTAGGGGTTGGGGGTTGGGGGTCCGGGTTAGGGTCCGGGTCCGGGTTGGGGGTCTGGGTTGGGGTTCCGGTTCCGGGTCCAGGTTGGGGTTCCGGGTCCGGGTCCGGGTCCAGGTTCGGGTCCGGGTTGGGGGTCCGGGTTGGGGTTCTGGGTTGGGGTTGGGGGTCCAGGTTGGGGGTTGGGGGTTGGCGGTTGGGATTCCGGGTCCGGGTCCGGGTTGGGGGTCCGGGTTGGGGTTGGGGGTCCGGGTTGGGGTTCCGGTTCCGGGTCCGGGCCGGGCGCACGCACCTCCCAGGTCGCAGGCGGAGGGGAAGCGGCCCAGGTCGAAGGCGGCGGCCACGTGGCGGGCGCAGAGGCGGCCCAGGCTGTGCGCGGCCCCGACCAGCTGCCGCCGCCGCTCCCGGCTCCCGGGGGCGCCGTCCGGGTCCTGGGGGGGCGGGCGCTCAGCGGGCGGCAGGGGGTACGGGGGGGGGGGGAGAAGGGGGTGCGGGCGGGGTTTGGGGGGGACACACAGGGGTGGGGGGATGGGAGAGAGGGCACAGGGCACCGGGAACTCCCTCAGGGCCGGGCTGTGGGCTCCTCCCCCTGCGCCCCCCTGCGCCCCCCTGCGCCCCCCATGCGGGGGGGCGGGGTACCTGGAACAGGCTGCCCCCCGGCCGGCCCGCGGGGTGGGGGCCGGGGCCCTGGCGGACGGCGGCCTCCAGATCCGAGAAGAAGGGCCAGGTGTGCTGGTCGGTGTAGGCGACGAGGGGCTGCAGGGACAGCGGGGCGTCCGCCGGCAGGTACAGGCTGGCCAGCGCGCTGTTGCTGTAGGCTGGGGGGGGGGGGGGTGAGGCTGGGCCCCCACCCATCCACCCATCCACCCACCCACCCACCCATCCACCCATCCACCCACCCACCCACCCAACCATCCACCATCCATTCATCCACCCACCCACCCACCCACCCACCCAACCCATCCATCCACCCACCCATCCACCCACCCACCCACCCACCCCACCCACCCATCCACCCACCCATCCACCCATCCATCCACCCATCCACCCACCCATCCACCCATCCACCCATCCACCCACCCATCCACCCACCCACCCACCCACCCATCCACCCATCCACCCACCCACCCACCCATCCACCCACCCACCCATCCATCCACCCATCCACCCATCCACCCATCCACCCACCCACCCACCCACCCATCCACCCATCCACCCATCCACCCACCCACCCACCCACCCACCCATCCATCCACCCACCCACCCACCCCATCCACCCACCCACCCATCCACCCACCCACCCACCCATCCACCCACCCACCCACCCATCCACCCACCCACCCACCCATCCACCCACCCACCCACCCATCCACCCACCCATCCACCCACCCATCCACCCATCCACCCACCCATCCACCCACCCACCCATCCACCCATCCATCCACCCATCCATCCATCCACCCACCCACCCACCCATCCACCCACCCACCCATCCATCCACCCACCCACCCACCCACCCATCCATCCACCCATCCACCCATCCACCCACCCATCCATCCATCCACCCACCCATCCATCCACCCATCCACCCATCCATCCATCCACCCATCCACCCACCCATCCACCCATCCATCCATCCACCCACCCACCCATCCACCCATCCATCCATCCATCCACCCACCCATCCACCCATCCACCCATCCACCCACCCACCGACCCATCCACCCACCCACCGACCCATCCACCCATCCATCCACCACCCACCCATCCATCCACCCACCCATCCACCCATCCACCCACCCACCCATCCATCCATCCATCCACCCACCCACCCATCCATCCATCCACCCATCCATCCACCCATCCACCCACCCATCCATCCATCCATCCATCCACCCACCCATCCACCCACCCATCCACCCATCCATCCACCCACCCATCCATCCACCCATCCATCCACCCACCCATCCACCCACCCATCCATCCATCCACCCACCCACCCATCCATCCATCCACCCATCCGTACACCCATCCATCCACCCACCCACCCATCCATCCATCCATCCACCCATCCATCCATCCACCCATCCATCCACCCACCCATCCACCCATCCATCCACCCACCCACCCATCCACCCATCCATCCACCCATCCATCCATCCATCCACCCACCCACCCATCCATCCATCCACCCATCCATACACCCATCCATCCATCCATCCACCCATCCATCCACCCACCAACCCAACCATCCATCCATCCATGAACCCATCCACCCCTCTCCTCCCTCCTCCCCTCCCCTCCCCTCCCTCCTCCTCTCCCCTCCATCCTCCTCCTCTCCCTCCTCCCCTCCCCCACCTTCCCCCTCCTCTCCCCTCCCTCCCCTCCTCCTCTCCCATCCCACCTCCTCTCCCTTCTCCACTCCCTGCTCCCCTCCCCTCCCTCCCTCCTCCTCTCCCCTCCATCCTCCTCCCCTCCCCTCTCCCCTTCCCCCTCCCCTCTCCCTTCCCCTCCCTCCTCCCTTACCCTCCTCCCCTCTCCCCTCCCCTCCCCTCTTCCCCGCCCCCTCACCGACCCCCCCCCCGCCCTCACCTCCGTCCCCCCTCCCCTCCCTTCCAAGCCCCTCCCTCCTCTCCCCCCTCCCTTCCCCCCCCCCCCCGCCCCTCACCTCCCTCCGCCGCCTCCAGCAGGCCCAGCGCGGCGCAGGCGGCCAGCAGCCGGGCGGTGCCGCCCTCCGAGGCCTGGATCCTCCGGGCCACGTCGGCGGCGCGCAGGGGGCCGCCCGCCTCCAGGACGTCAAACACCCCCAGGCGGCAGGCGGTGAGCAGGGCCTGCGGGCACGGGGGGGGGGGGGGGGGCCCGCCCGGACCGAGGGGGGTCAGCGCGGGCCGGGTGAGGAGTCAGCCGTCCGCCCAGGCTCCACCCACCTGCCTGCCCACCCACCTGTCTGCCCATCTGCCAATTTATCCATCCATCCCTCCATCCATCTACCCACCTGCCTGCCCACCCACCCACCCATCCATCCACCCATCCACCCATCCACCCATCCATCCATCCATCCATCCACCATCCACCCATCCACCCATCCATCCATCCACCCACCCATCCATCCACCCATCCATCCATCCATCCATCCACCCATCCACCCATCCATCCATCCACCCATCCATCCATCCACCCATCCATCCATCCATCCATCCACCAACCCACCCACCCATCCATCCACCCACCCACCCATCCATCCACCCATCCATCCATCCATCCATCCATCCATCCATCCATCCATCCATCCACCAACCCACCCACCCATCCATCCATCCATCCACCCATCCATCAACCATCCACCCATCCATCCATTCACCCATCCACCCATCCATCCACCCACCCATCCACCCATCCACCCATCCATCCACCCACCCATCCACCCATCCACCCATCCACCCACCTGCCTACCCACCCATCTGCACCTGTACTTACCCACCCACCCGCCATCTACCCACTCATCCATCCATCCATCCCTCCACCCATCCATCCACCCATCCACCCATCCATCCACCCATCCACCCACCCATCCACCCATCATCCATCCCTCCACCCATCCACCCACCTACCCACCCACCCATCCACCTTTCATCCCTCCCTCCATCCATCCCTCCATCCATCCACCCACCTGCCTGCCCACCCATCCTCCATCTGCCTATCCACCTACCTGTCTGCCCATCTACCTATCTATCCACCCACCCACCCATCCATCCACCCATCCACCCACCCACCTACCTGCCCACCCACCCATCTGCCTATCCACCCACCTGTCTGTCCATCTGCCAATTTATCCAGCCATCATCCACCCATCCCTCCACCCATCCCTCCACCCATCCCTCCACCCACCCACCCACCCATCCATCCACCCACCCACCCACCCATCCACCCATCCACCCACCCAACCACCCACCCATCCACCCATCCATCCACCCACCCATCCATCCATCCACCCATCCATCCATCCATCCATCCACCCATCCACCCATCCATCCATCCCTCCACCCATCCACCCACCTACCCACCCACCCATCCACCTTTCATCCCTCCCTCCATCCATCCCTCCATCCACCCACCCACCTGCCTGCCCACCCATCCTCCATCTGCCTATCCACCTACCTGTCTGCCCATCTACCTATCTATCCACCCACCCACCCATCCATCCACCGATCCACCCAACCACCTGCCTACCCACCCACCCATCTGCCTATCCACCCACCTGTCTGTCCATCTGCCAATTTATCCAGCCATCATCCACCCATCCCTCCACCCACCCATCCACCCACCCATCCACCCACCCATCCACCCACCCATCCACCCACCCATCCACCCACCCACCCATCCATCCATCCACCCATCCATCCATCCATCCATCCATCCATCCATCCATCCACCCATCCACCCACCTACCCACCTACCCACCCACCCATCCACCCACCCACCCATCCATCCATCCACCCACCCATCCACCCACCCATCCACCCACCCATCCACCCACCCACCCATCCATCCATCCACCCACCCATCCACCCACCCATCCATCCACCCCCCCACCCCCATCCCCCCCCAATCAGGAAGCAGAGGGGCACCGGGCGCATGGGCGCACCTTGGACGCCTTGAACCCGTCCAGCAGCTCCAGCAGCGGCGTGGGGGGCAGGCTGTCCACCATCCTGCTGGCCCCCCAGCTCCTCCTGCGGCCCCGGGCCCCGCCCTGGCCGCGGGGGCCGCTGGGACTCGGCGAGGGGGCGGGGTCCGCGGGCGCGGGGTCCCCCGGGCCGGGCGGCGGGGGCGGGGGCGGGGGCGGGGAGAGGAACAGCTCGGCCAGCTGCTTGCAGAAGCGGTTCAGCGGGAAGCCCACCACGTTCAGGAAGTCCCCGTGCACGTGCTCCACCAGCATGCCGCCCAGCGCCTGGATGCCGTAGCCGCCGGCCTTGTCCCTGGAGCGGGGGGGAAGGGAAAGACGGTGACACCGGGGCCGGTGTGGTCCAATGGTTAGCGCCGGGCCGGGGCGGCTGAGTGGGCAGAGCGGCCGGGGCGCCGCCCAGCGCCTGGATGCCGTAGCCGCCGGCCTTGTCCCTGGGGCGGGGGGGAAGGGAAAGAGGGTGACACCGGGGCCGGGGCCGCCCAATGGTTAGTGCCTGGCCGGGGCGGCTCAGCGGTCAGAGCGGCCGGGGCGCCGCCCAGCGCCTGGATGCCGTAGCCGCCGGCCTTGTCCCTGGGGCGGGGGGGAAGGGAAAGACGGTGACACCGGGGCCGGGGCTGCCCAATGGTTAGCGCCGGGCCGGGGCGGCTCAGCGGTCAGAGCGGCCGGGGCGCCGCCCAGCGCCTGGATGCCGTAGCCGCCGGCCTTGTCCCTGGGGCGGGGGGGGAAGGGAAAGACGGTGACACCGGGGCCGGGGCAGCTCAGCGGGCAGAGCGGCCGGGGCGCCGCCCAGCGCCTGGATGCCGTAGCCGCCGGCCTTGTCCCTGGGGCAGAGGGGGGGGGGAGGGAAAGACGGTGACACCGGGGCTCGGGCTGCCCAATGGTTAGCGCTGGGCCGGTGTTGCCCAATGGTTAGCGCCTGGCTGGTGCGGCTCAGCGGTCAGAGCGGCCGGGGCGCCGCCCAGCGCCTGGATGCCGTAGCCGCCGGCCTTGTCCCTGGGGCAGAGGGGGGGAAGGGAAAGAGGGTGACACCCGGGGCCGGGGCGGCTCAGTGGTCAGAGCGGCCGGGGCGCCGGCCACCCAGCGCCTGGATGCCGTAGCCGCCGGCCTTGTCCCTGGGGCAGGGGGGAAGGGAAAGACGGTGACACCGGGGTCGGGGCTGCCCAATGGTTAGCGCCTAGCCGGTGCGGCTCAGTGGTTAGTGGCTGGCCGGGGCGGCTCAGTGGTCAGAGCGGCCGGGGCGCCGCCCAGCGCCTGGATGCCCTAGCCGCCGGCCTTGTCCCTGGGGCAGAGGGGGGGAAGGGAAAGAGGGTGACACCAGGGCCGGGGCCGCCCAATGGTTAGCGCCTGGCCGGTGCGGCTCACTGGTCAGGGCGGCCGGGGCGCCGGCCACCCAGCGCCTGGATGCCGTAGCCGCCGGCCTTGTCCCTGGGGCGGGGGGGAAGGGAAAGACGGTGACACCGGGGCCGGGGCGGCTCAGTGGTCAGTGCCGGGCCGGGGCGGCTCAGCGGTCAGAGCGGCCGGGGCGCCGCCCAGCGCCTGGATGCCGTAGCCGCCGGCCTTGTCCCTGGGGGAGGGGGGGAAGGGAAAGAGGGTGACACCGGGGCCGGAGCTGCCCAATGGTTAGCGCCTGGCCGGTGCGGTTCAGTGGGTAGAGCCCCGGCCGGTGCGGCTCGGCGGTTAGAGCGTGGACCTAGGAGCCAGGAGGTCCCGGGTTCGATTCCCGGTCCAGGGCACAGGCCCGGGTGGCGGGCTCCGTCCCCAGCCAGCAGGGGGCGCGCGGGAGGCGGCCGGTGGGTGGTTCTCTCTCCTCGGGGGTGCTCCTCTCGCTCCTTCGAAACTCCACTCAGATCAGCAAAGAATGGGTTAAAAACAACCTTTTTTAAAAAATATGTTTTTTATTGATTTTTTACGGAGAGGAAGGGAGAGGGCAGGAGAGTCAGAATCATCGATGAGAGAGAATCATCGATCCGCTGCCTCCTGCGCGCCCCCCACTGGGGATGTGCCCGCCGCCCAGGCCCATGCCCTGGGCCGGGAATCGAACCCGGGACCCTCCCGTCCGCAGGCCGACGCTCTACCCGCTGAGCCACACCGGTTTGGGCCCAAACCCATATTTTTAAAAACTGTGTTTGAAAACCTAAATCCCGGGAGAAAAGGGGCCGGTGGGTGTGGGCTCTGTCCCTGAGCCCCTGAGCCGTGTGGTCATGTGAGGGCAGCCCGGATGCCCGGAAGCCCCCACGCCCCGACGCCGTTACGCCCCGACGCCCCCACGTCCGGAAGCCCCCATGCCCGGATGCCCGGACGCCCCGACAGCCTCACGCCCCCAAGCCCGGAAGCCCCGACACCACCCCTATTCCCGGACGCCCTCACTCCCCGACACCCCCACGCACCCAAGCCCGGAAGCCCCGATGACCCCACGCCTCAAGCCCGGAAGCCGCGACGCACACTCACCCCAAGTCTGTTAGCCCCGATACCCCTCACGCTCCCAAGCCTGTAAGCCCCGACGCCCCCACCCAAGCTCGGAAGCCCCGACACCCCCACGCCCCCAAGCCCGGAAGCCCCCACGCCCCCAAGCCCGGAAGCCCCGACACCCCCACGCCCGGAAGCCGCGACGCCCAAACGACCCAAGCCTGGAAGCCCCGACGCCCCCACACCCCCAAGCCCGGAAGCCCGGACGCCTCCACGCTCCCAAGCCCGGAAGCCCCGACAGCCCCACGCCCCCAAGCCCGGAAGCCCTGACGCCCCTATGCCCGGACGCCCTCACGCCCCGACAGCCCCACGCTCGGAAGCCCTGACGCCCCTATACCCGGACGCCCTCACGCCCCGACACCCCCACGCCCTCAAGCCCGGACGCCTCCACGCTCCCACGCCCAGAAGCCCCGACGCCCCCAAGCCCGGAAGCCCGGACGCCCCTATACCCGGACGCCCTCACGCCCCGACACCCCGACACCCCCACGCCCTCAAGCCCGGACGCCTCCACGCTCCCACGCCCAGAAGCCCCGACGCCCCCACGCCCCCAAGCCCGGAAGCCCGGACGCCCCTATACCCGGACGCCCTCACGCCCCGACACCCCCACGCCCTCAAGCTCGGAAGCCTGGACGCCCCTATGCCCAGACGCCCTCACGCCCCGACACCCCCACGCCCTCAAGCCCGGAAGCCGCGACGCCCACGTGCCCCAAGCCTGGAAGCCCCGACGCTCACACGCCCAAAGCCCGGAAGCCCCGGCACCTTCACGCCCCTACAGCCGGAAGCCCCGACGCCCCCACGCCCTCACGCCCCAAGCCCGGAAGCCCCGACGCCCGGAAGCCCTCCCGCCCCAACGCCCACACTCACATGGGCTCCCCGCTGTGGATGTAGTCCCACAGCAGCTCCTCCGACAGCTGCGAGAACTTGACCCGCGTCTCCTCGTAAAACTCCGACACCTGCATGTCCAGCCGGCTGTCTGCGGAGAGAGGCCCGCCGTCACCGCGCCGCCCCCCGGCCCCGGGTCCGAGTCCCCACCGCTGGGTGGAGCGTGGGGGAGGTGGGGAGGGGGGGGAGGAAAACACGTGGCCCCGGCGCTGGGTGCAGGGCAGGTGCAGGGCATGAAGGTGGAGGGAGAGGGTTCTGATGCAGGAAACAGCCCGGCCGGTGTGGCTCAGTGGTCAGAGCTTCGCCCTCTAGGAACCAGGAGGGTCCCGGGTTCGATTCCCAGGTCAAGGGCACGGACCTCGGTGGCTGAGGGCACATCCCCAGGTGGGGGGCGTGCGGGAGGCGGCGGATGGATGATTCTCTCTCTCTCGTCATCGATGTTTCCGACTCTCTATCCCTCTCTCTTCCTCTAAAAAATAAATTAAAAATAAATTAAAAATATATATATAAGTGAATTAAAAACATAACAAATCTTTGAAAGAAAGAAAGAAAGAAAGAAAGAAAGAAAGAAAGAAAGAGAAAGAAAGAAAGAAAGGAAGGAAGGAAGGAAGGAAGGAAGGAAGGAAGGAAGGAAGGAAGGAAGGAAGGAAGGAAAGAAAGAAGGAAAGAAAGAAAGAAGGAAAGAAGGAAAGAAGGAAAGAAGGAAGGAAGGAAGGAAGGAAGGAAGGAAGGAAGGAAGGAAGGAAGGAAGGAAAGAAAGAAAGAAAGAAAGAAAGAAAGAAAGAAAGAAAGAAGGAAAGAAATAAAGGAAGGAAGGAAGGAAGGAAGGAAGGAAGGAAGGAAGGAAGGAAGGAAGGAAGGAAAAGAAAGAAAGAAAGAAAGAAAGAAAGAAAGAAAGAAAGAAAGAAAGAAAGAAAGAAAGAAAGAAAGAAAGAAGAGAAAGAAAGAAGAGAAAGAAAGAGAAAGAAAGAAAGAAAGAGAAAGAAAGAAAGAAAGAAAGAAAGAAAGAAAGAAAGGAAGAAAGAAAGAAAGAAAGAAAGAAAGAAAGAAAGAAAGAAAGAAAGAAAGAAAGAAAGAAAGAAAGAAAGAAAGAAAGAAAGAAAAGAGAAAATGAGAGGAAACAGCCAGGCCAGCATGGCTCAGTGGTTACAGCGTGGCCCTAGGAGCCAGGAGGTCCCGGGTTCGATTCCCGGTCCAGGGCACAGGCCCGGGTGGCGGGATCCATCCCCAACCAGCAGGGGGCGTGTGGGAGGCGGCCGGTCCGAGGTTCTCTCTCCTCCTGGATGTTTCTTTCTCTCTCTCTCTCTCTCTCTCTCTCTCTCTCTCTCCCCAGCTCCCTACCTCTCTGAAATCCATATAAATAATATTATAAAAAGAAAACAAAAACACATATTTTTTTTTTTTTTAAAATATATGTTTAAAAACATAAACCTAGCCCTGGCCGGTGTGGCTCAGTGGGTAGAACCATCGACCTGCGGACGGAAGGGTCCCGGGTTCGATTCCCGGTCAAGGGCATGGGCCTGGGTGGCTGAGGGCTCATCCCCAGGGGGGGGCGTGCAGGAGGCGGCGGGTGGATGATTCTCTCTCTCTCCCTCTCCCGTCTTCTCTGTAAAAAAAATCAAATTAAAAAAATATTTATCTTTTGAAAAAGACGCAGACGAGGAGACGCAGGCACAGAGAGATGGATGGAGGCAGAGACGGGAGGAGGAGGGAGGCGGAGTGGCCTGGAGCCCCAGGCGCTGGGACAGGCAGGAAGTCTGCCATCAGGGGGGTCCATGGGCCGTGGTGGGGGTGGGGGGGGGGGGACTCGAACCCCAGGCCCAGCCGTGAGCCGGGGGGGGAGCCGGCCGGGTACCTTGGCAAGAACAGCGGATGATGGTGACGCCCGTGAACACGCTGTGCTCCTTCCCGTTCAACCTGCAAGACACGGCCGTGCGGCTGGGTGGGCAGAGGCCTGGCCCCGGGTTCGAATCCTGGTCCAGAGCGTGTATTCGGGGATAGGAGGCTGGGTCCCTCCCCGCCTGGGAACAGGCAGGGCGGGTGCAGGAGGCAGCCAATCCGTGTGTGTGTGTGTGTGTGTCTCACATCCGTGTTTCTCTCTCTCCCCCCTCCCTCCCTCTCTCTCTTTTTTTTTAAAAAAAATATATTTTATTGATTTTTTTTCTTACAGAGAGGAAGGGAGAGAGAGAGTTAGAAACATCGATGAAGAGAGAGACACATCCATCCGCCGCCTCCTGCACGCCCCCCACTGGGGATGTGCCCTCAGCCACCCAGGCCCATGCCCTTGGCCGGGAATCGAACCCGGGACCCTCCAGTCTGCAGGCCGACGCTCTCTACCCACTGAACCACACCGGCCAGGGCCATTTTTATTTTATTTATTTTTTTAAATATATTTTTATTGATTTCAGCCGGGAACAGTTTGGCTCAGTGGATAGAGCCTCGGCTTGGAGACTGAAGGGTCCCGGGTTCGATTCCCGGTCAAGGGCATGGACCTTGGTGGCGGGCACATCCCCAGTGGGGGGCGTGCAGGAGGCAGCTGGTCGATGACTCTCTCTCATCGATGTTTCTAACTCTCTCTCTCTCTCTCCCTTCCTCTCTGTACAAAATCAATAAAATGTATTTTTTTTTAAAAAAAAAATAGATATATATATTTATTGATTTCAGAGAGAAGAAAGAGAGGAGAGAGACAGAGAGAAATATCCATAATGAAAAGAATTATGGATCGGCTGCCTCCCGCACGCCCCCCACTGGGGATGTGCCCGCAGCCACCCAGGCCCATGCCCTTGGCCGGGAATCGAACCCGGGACCCTCCAGTCTGCAGGCCGGGGCCTGAGCTGGCTGTTTCTGAGCCTCCGTCTGTTCTCTCCCCTCCCCCATCTGAGCTGGGTTGTGGATCAGCCAATCAGAGGGCGAGGAGGCGTCAGGGGGAGGGATGGAGGGATGGAGGGAGGGAGGAGGGGTCAGAGGTCAAGGTCATGGACAAGGGACTCCGCCTCCAGCCCCATCTCAGCTCAAAGGACTGCTGGGTCCGCCCTCCGAGGGGCCCCCGAAGGGCCCCGTCCCCCCTCCCAGCATCCCTGTCTCCGGGGGATCCGGGCGGGCGGAGTGGTACCCGGAGGCGGTTGCCATGGCGCCCACCTGGAGAGCATGCTGTAAGCATCCTGCTTGTCCACCGGCTTCTCCAGGATCAGCCCCTGCAGCGTCTGCAGAGAGAACACACGGGTCAGACGGGGTGTGTGTCCTCCCGCCCCTCCCATCCCCTCTACACCCCCCCCCGCCCCCCGCCACCACCACCCTCCCACCGGCCGGAATCGAACCCGGGACCCTGCCGTCCGCAGGCAGGCCGGCGCGCTACCCACTGAGCCTCACAGCATGCGATACGGTTTTTTTTTTTTTTTTTTAATTCAAGGTGGACCCAGCCGGTGTGGCTCAGTGGGTAGAGCGTCGGCCTGTGGACGGAAGGGTCCCGGGTTCGATTCCCGGTCAAGGGCATGGACCTGGGTGGCTGAGGGCGCATCCCCAGTGGGGGGCGTGCGGGAGGCGGCGGATGGATGATTCTCTCTCCTCATGGATGTTTCTAGCTCTCTCTCCCTCTCTCTTCCTCTCTGTGTAAAAAAACAATAAAATATATTAAAAAATAAATAAAAAAATTAAATTAAAAAACAAATAAAATAAATAAATTAGCAAGATAAATAACATGCAATAAATAAAATCAATGGGGAAAAATAAAATGATAAAAAGTGAATAAAATAAATGAACAGAACAAATCAAATTAAATAAGTAAATTAAAACCAAATTTAATTTTTATTTTAATTTAATTTAAATAAATTAAAATAGAAATAATAAAAATAAACAAAATAAGCCAAAACAGGTTTGGCTCAATGGATAGAGCGTCGGCTTGGGGACTGAAGGGTCCCGGGTTCGAATCCGGGTAAGGGCATGTACCTTGGTTGCGGGCACATCCCCAGTGGGGGGCGTGCAGGAGGCAGCTGGTCCATGTTTCTCTCTCATCGATGTTTCTAGCTCTCTATCTCTCTCCCTTTCTATCTGTACAAAATCAATAAAATATATTTTTTTTAAAAATAAAAAATGAACAAAATAAGATGAATAAAACAAAATAAATTAACAAAATAAAATTAAATTAAATAAACAAATTAAATTAAAATCAAATTTAATTTTTATTTTAATTTAAATAAATTAAATTAAAGTAAAAATAATAAAAATAAACAGAAGATGAATAAAACAAAATAAATAAATTAACAAAATAAAATTAAATAAATACATCAAATTAAAAATCAAAGGGAAAATAAAAATAAGCAAAAGAAGATGCATAAAACAAAATAAAGAAAATAAATTAACAAAATAAAATCAAATAAATACATTAAAATCAAAGGGAAAATAAAAATAAAAATCGAAGATGCATAAAACAAATTAAAGAAAATAAAATAAATTAACAAAATAAATAACATTAAGTAAAAGTCCATGGGAACATAAGCCCGGCTGAGGATTAACAAAAAAAATAAATAAATAACTCAGGATGGTGTGATGGGGCCGGGAGCCGGGGGCCGGGACAGGGGCTCCTGAGGCCCCCACCCCCTCCCTCCACCCCCACCCGCCCGGGTCACCCTGGCCGTCAGCACCCACGGGTGGGGGCGGCCAGGGTGTCACTCACCACGATTGTGTCGGCTCCGATGACGATGTCAGGCGCCCGGAGGTCTTTCTGCGAGAAACACAAGCTCAATCTTACGTGTCTCATTTTTTTAAAAAAAAAATATATATTTTACTGATTATTTCACCGAGAGGAAGGGAGAGGGACAGAGAGCTAGAAACATCGCTGAGGAGAGAGAATCATCGACCGGCCGCCTCCTGCACGCCCCCCCCCGGGGATGTGCCCTCAGCCACCCAGGCCCATGCCCTTGACCGGGAATCGAACCCGGGACCCTTCCGTCCAGCAGGCCGACGCTCTGCCCACTGAGCCACACCGGTTTCGGCTACATATATATTTTTTAAAAATAATAACAACAGCCAAAGCCGGTGTTGCTCAGTGGGTAGCGCGTCGACATGCAGACAGAAGGGTCCCGGGTTCGATTCCCGGTCAAGGGCATGGGCCTGGGTGGCTGAGGGCACATCCCCAGTGGGGGGCGTGCAGGAGGCAGTTGATCGATGATTCTCTCTCCTCATCGATGTTTCTCTCTCTCTCTCTCTCCCCATCCCCCTTCCTCTCTGTGAAAAATCAGTAAAATATATATATTTATTTTTTTAAATAAAGTACTTCTTCCATTTTTTTATTTTTTTATTGATTTTTTTCACAGAGAGGAAGGGAGAGGGAGAGAGAGAGAGAAACATCGCTGAGGAGAGAGAATCATGGACCCGCTGCCTCCTGCACGCCCCCCACTGGGGATGTGCCCTCAGCCACCCAGGCCCATGCCCCTGACCGGGAATCGAACCCGGGACCCTTCCGTCCGCAGGCCGACGACGCTCTACCCACTGAGCCGCCCCCCCCCCGCCCTCACCTGGTGCATCCTCTGGGCGACGTCCAGCGCCTTCTGCTTGGCCGTCTCCATGGCGTAGGCGTAGGGGGCGTCAAAAGCCGCCTTGTCCAGCTTCTCCTTAAACCGGGAGGGCACCACCTCGAACCTCAAACCCTGCGGGTGGGAGAAGAGGAGATGGTGCCGCTCAGTGGTTAGAGCCGTCGGCCTGCTGGACCGAAGGGTCCCGGGTTCGATTCCCGGTCAAGGGCATGGGCCTCGGTGGCTGAGGGCACATCCCCAGTGGGGGGCGTGCAGGAGGCAGCCGATCGATGATTCTCTCTCCTCATCGATGTTTCTGACTCTGTCTCTCTCCCTTCCTCTCTGCAAAAAAAAAAAAAAGAAAAAAAAAAATCAATAAAATATATATATTTTTTAAATCAATTTAAAAAAATCAATAAAATATATTTTTAAAGAACAGGGTGTTGGGGGCGAGGGGACAGAGTGGCTGGACCTGCCCCCGCTGCCCTCCTTGGCCAAAGGGGGTCACTGACCGGGTCAGGTGACCTCTGTCCCAGAAGCCACCGGGGTGGTATTGACCCAGCTGCTGGTTGCCCTGGTGACCGGGGGGTCAAAGGGCAGCCCGAGCATCCCCAAGGCCGGGGCCTTCCCCCCCCCCCCCCCCCCCCCCGCCCACGGGGGACAGGCGCCAGGGAATAAATAACTCTTCCCGCAAAACAAACAAAACGGGATCAAAATAAAGTAAGAACACTAAATAATACAATAAGATAAAATAAAACGAGGTCAAATAAAATAAACAAAAACAATGAAATAAGGTAAAATAAAACAATAAAATAAAAAAGTAAGTACAATGAGATCAAATAAATAAGGTTTTAAAAATTTAAATAATAAGATAAAACAAAATGAGGTCAAATAAAATAAGGAAACAAAACAATGAAATAAGGTAAAATGAAATAAAACAATAAGATAGAATCAATAAAAGGAGATCAAATAAAATGAGAAAACAAAAAATTAATTAAAAAATGAAATAAGGTAAACTACAACAATAAGATAAAATACAGTAAATAAAATGGGATCAAGTAAAATAAGAAAACAGAACAATGAAATAAGATAAAATAAAACAATAAAAAAGTAAGTAAAATGAGATCAAATAAATAAGGTTTTAAAAATTTAAATAATAAAATAGGATAAAGTAAAACGAAGTCAAATAAAATAAGGAAACACAAAAAATGAAATAAGATAAAACAATAAGGTAAAACAGAGTAAGTACAATGAGCATAAGAAAACAGAACAATGAAATAAGATAAAATAAAACAATAAGATAGAATACATAAAATGAGATCCAATAAAATAAGGAAACAAAACATTAATTAAAAAAATGAAACAAGATATACTAAAACAATAAGATAAAAAAAGTAAATAAGATCAAATAAATAAGATTTTAAAAATTTTAAATAATAAGATAAAACAAAATGAGGTCAAATAAAATACGGAAACAAAACAATGAAATAAGGTAAAATGAAATAAAACAATAAGATAGAATCAATAAAAGGAGATCAAATAAAATGAGAAAACAAAAAATTAATTAAAAAATGAAATAAGGTAAACTACAACAATAAAATACAGTAAATAAAATGGGATCAAGTAAAATAAGAAAACAGAACAATGAAATAAGATAAAATAAAACAATAAAAAAGTAAGTAAAATGAGATCAAATAAATAAGGTTTTAAAAATTTAAATAATAAAATAGGATAAAGTAAAACGAGGTCAAATAAAATAAGGAAACACAAAAAATGAATAAGGTAAAACAATAAGGTAAAACAGAGTAAGTACAATGAGCATAAGAAAACAGAACAATGAAATAAGATAAAATAAAACAATAAGATAGAATACATAAAATGAGATCCAAGAAAATAAGGAAACAAAACATTAATTAAAAAAATGAAACAAGATATACTAAAACAATAAGATAAAAAAAAGTAAATAAGATCAAATAAATAAGATTTTAAACATTTAAATAAGATAAAACAAAATGAGGTCAAATAAAATAAGGAAACAAAACAATGAAATAAGGTAAAATGAAATAAAACAATAAGATAGAATACATAAGATGAGATCCAATAAAATAAGGAAACAAAACATTAATTTAAAAAATGAAACAAGACATACTAAAACAATAAGATAAAAAAAGTAAATAAGATCAAATAAATAAGATTTTAAAAATTTTAAATAATAAGATAAAACAAAATGAGGTCGAATAAAATACGAAAACAAAAAAAGGGAATAAGGTAAAATGAAATAAAACAATAAGATAGAATCAATAAGATGAGGTCAAATAAAATAAGGAAACAAAAACATAAAATAAAATACAACAGTAAGATAAAATGAAGTAAATAAAATGGGATCAAATAAAATAAGGAAACAAAACAATGAAATAAGGTAAATTGAAATAAAACAATAAAATAAAAATAAAGATCAAATAAATAAGATTTTAAAAAAATTTAAATAATAAAATAAAACAAAATGAGGTCGAATAAAATACGGAAACAAAACAATGAAATAAGGTAAATTGAAATAAAACAATAAGATAGAATCAATAAGATGAGGTCAAATAAAATAAGGAAACAAAAACATAAAATAAAATACAACAGTAAGATAAAATGAAGTAAATAAAATGGGATCAAATAAAATAAGGAAACAAAACAATGAAATAAGGTAAATTGAAATAAAACAATAAAATAAAAATAAAGATCAAATAAATAAGATTTTTAAAAAATTTAAATAATAAAATAAAACAAAATGAGGTCGAATAAAATATGGAAACAAAACAATGAAATAAGGTAAATTGAAATAAAACAATAAAAGAAAAATAAAGATCAAATAAATAAGATTTTAAAAAAAATTTAAATACTAAAATAAAACAAAATGAGTTCGAATAAAATACGGAAACAAAACAAGGGAATAAGATAAAATGAAACAAAACAATAAGATAAAATCAAGCAAATAAAATGGGATCAACTAAAAAAAAGATGGAAAAAGTCAACTGACAAAATAAGATAAAACAAAAGCAGGTCCAGTAAGATAAAGTGAAAGAATATGACGACGTAAAAATTACAAGCTCAAGTAACGAAATCCAAGGAGATAAATAAAATAAAACAGACCAAGTAATAAAATAAATCACAGGAGAAGATAAAAGAACACAATCAAATAAATAAAATAAAAATTAAAAATAAATAAATAAAAAAGCTTTAGGAATCCTGGCCGCTCTGGCTCCGTGCATGGACCCTCTGTGAGGCATGAAGGGTCCCGGGTTCGATTCCCCCGGCCAAGGGCACAGGCCCCAAGGCCCTGGAGCTGGACACGGGGGTGGGGGGACGGGGCAGGGGCCATGGCCTTGGACCCCTGAGGGTAAACAAACCTGCTGGCTGAGGGCCTGGCCTGGCTCCCTGCCTCCTGCCCTGGCTCTTCCCCCTCCCCGGGGGCCAAGGAAACCCCTGAACCCCCCAATATAGACCTGGACCCCCGAGTTCAGGGCTGCACGGCAGCCCGGTCACTGCAGGCCAGGCCCCGGGGGCTCAGGCTGAGGGTGGAGCCCCCCGCCCGCCAGCCTCTCCAGGGCGGCCGGCTTTGGGGTCAGGGGGGGCCCTGGTCACGGGGAGGCTCGGTCCACGGGCTGCCTGGCCACTGGGCCCACCAGGCCGTCACCGGGGTCCAGGGTCCCTGGGCCTCCTGCTAACGGGGGGCCCTGGGCCCTGGGGCCCTTGTTAACGGGGTGCCCTGGGCCCTGAGCCCCCTGATCACTGGGCCCCCTGGTTCCTGGGCCCCCTGGTCACTGAGTCCCCTGGGCCCTGGGCCCCCTGGTCACTGAGTCCCCTGGGCCCTGGGCCCCCTGGTCACTGAGTCCCCTGGGCCCTGGGCCCCTTGTTAACGGGGTGCCCTGGGCCCTGGGCCCCTTGTTAACGGGGTGCCCTGGGCCCTGAGCCCCCTGGTTCTGGGCCCCCTGGTTCTGGGCCCCCTGGTTCCTGGGCCCCCTGGTCACTGAGTCCCCTGGGCCCTGGGCCCCCTGGTCACTGAGTCCCCTGGGCCCCTTGTTAAGGGGGTGCCCTGGGCCCTGAGCCCCCTGGTTCTGGGCCCCCTGGTCACTGAGTCTCCTGGGCCCTGGGCCCCTTGTTAACGGGGTGCCCTGGGCCCTGGGATCCTTGTTAACGGGGTGCCCTGGGCCCCTTGTTAATGGGGTGGCCCTGTTCACTGGGCCCCCTGGTCATTGGGCCCCCTGGTCCCTGAGCCCCCTGGTCACTGGGCCCCCTGGTTCCTGGGCCCCCTGGTCACTGAGTCCCCTGGGCCCTGGGCCCCTTGTTAATGGGGTGGCCCTGGTCACTGGGCCCCCTGGTCCCTGAGCCCCTTGGTTATGGGGTCCCCTGGTCCCTGAGCCCCCTGGTCACTGGGCCCCTTGTTAACGGGGTTCCCTGGTCACTGAATCCTCTGGGCCCTGGGCCCCTGCTAACGGGGTTCCCTAGTCACTGGGCCCCCTGGTCACTGAGGCCCCTGGTCCCTGAGCCCCCAGCTAACGGGGTCCCCTGGTCCTTGGGCCTCCTGCTAATGGGGTGCCCTGGGCCCTGGGCCCCTTGTTAACGGGGTGCCCTGGTCCCTGAGCCCCCTGGGCCCTGGGCCCCCCTGCTAACAGGGTTCCCTGGTCACTGAGTGCCCTGGTCCCTGGTCCCCCTGGTCACTGAGTCCCCTGGTCCCTAGGCCCCTTGTTAACGGGGTGCCCCAGTCACTGAGCCCCCAGCTAACGGGTTGCCCTGGTCACTGGGCTCCTGCTAACGGGGTTCCCTGATCCCTGAACCCCCTGGTCCCCGGCCCCCTGGTCACTGAGTCTCCTGGTTCCTGGGCCCCTTGTTAATGGGGTGCCCTGCTAACGGGGTCCCCTGGGCCCTGGGCCTCCTGGTTATGGGGTTCCCTGGTCCCTGAGGCCCCTGGTCCCTGGGCCCCCAGCTAACGGGGTTCCCTGAGCCCCCAGCTAACGGGGTCCCCTGGTCCCTGGGCCCCCAGCTAACGGGGTCCCCTGGGCCCTGGGCCCCCAGCTAACGGGGTCCCCTGGGCCCTAAGCCCCCAGCTAACGGGGTCCCCTGGTCCCTGAGCCCCAGCTAATGGGTCCCCTGGTCCCTGGGCCCCAGCTAACGGGGTTCCCTGGTCCCTGAGCCCCCAGCTAACGGGGCTCCCTGGTCCCTGGGCCCCAGCTAACGGGGATCCCTGGTCCCTGAGCCCCTGATAACGGGGCTCCCTGGTCACGGGGTCCCCTGATAACGGGGTTCCCTGGTCCCTGGGCCCTGATAACGGGGTTCCCTGGACCCTGAGCCCCAGCTAACGGGGTTCCCTGGTCCCTGAGCCCCAGCTAACGGGGTTCCCTGATCCCTGGGCCCCTGATAACGGGGTTCCCTGGTCCCTGAGCCCCCAGCTAACGGGGTTCCCTGGTCCCTGAGCCCCAGCTAACGGGGTTCCCTGGTCCCTGAGCCCCTGATAACGGGGTTCCCTGGTCCCTGGGGCCCAGCTAACGGGGTTCCCTGGTCCCTGAGCCCCAGCTAACGGGGTCCCCTGGTCCCTGGGCCCCCAGCTAACGGGGTTCCCTGGTCCCTGAGCCCCAGCTAACGGGGTCCCCTGGTCCCTGAGCCCCCAGCTAACGGGGTCCCCTGGTCCCTGGGTCCCAGCTAACGGGGTTCCCTGGTCCCTGGGCCCCAGCTAACGGGGTTCCCTGGTCCCTGGGCCCCCAGCTAACGGGGTCCCCGGGTCCCTGAGCCCCTGATAACGGGGTTCCCTGGTCCCTGAGCCCCTGATAACGGGGTTCCCTGGTCCCTGAGCCCCAGCTAACGGGGTGCCCTGGTCCCTGGGCCCCAGCTAACGGGGTTCCCTGGTCCCTGAGCCCCTGATAACGGGGTTCCCTGGTCCCTGAGCCCCTGATAACGGGGTCC